CAATAATCCATGTTATAGCAGCGTAATGTTCCAAACAGCATCTGGTCAAGGAAATTGAACTTTTTCACAAATGAGTTAACATGACCAGTGCCATAATTTCAATTTAGTTTTGGAAGTTTCTGAAATGTTTTATCTACATTGTACTTATGATTTAAATAAAGTGAAAAATTTAAGGGGGTCTGAATACTTTCCGTACCCACTGTATATACACACACACAAATATTAAAAAATCCTAAAACTTTATTTTCTGGTTAGGGAGAAAAAGACAGATGGAAAAAAAAAAGAAATGTTTGTAATCTCAAACACCATCTAAAGTAAAAAGCCACTTTCCACAACATAGTTAAATTGTTAACATAGTTAAATGGTTAACTAGCTAAATGTGCTATTGGCTATTTTCAGAAAAGAGTGAAAAAATCAGCAAACAGTGAAGCAAATATGGAACACAAAACACTTCATGACTAAAGAACAAAAACCACAAAATAAAATAATTATAAAAAATACTGTAATATCTGTTGGCCAGTTATATAAAAATTACAGCATATAAAACTCAATTTACAACATTTATAAAACGTAATAAAAATATTGTTATTCTGTGAACAGTTCTTTGAGTAAAAACCAATTTGAGCTAGATGTTTGAAACCGTACAAAAGCATACAAAACCACAGCTTTTGCATTTGAATAACTCAAAACATTACAGTTACTACAATTACAATTTTAGTTCTTTTTCAGACATCAGATGTATTTACATTGTGACTGTATGTACAATCAGCTGCATTTGTGTTTGTAAAGGTGTGGCCCAAATGGCCCATGCAGGCAAACGACCCATACAGGGAAATTACCAATACAATTAGAATTTCTAAGGGACTGTTTGCAGGGTCTCCAGCGGGACGTCCTAACAGTATGGTGACTATTGTTTATGACACATTTGTCTCCACGTTTAAAGTTCTGTCCCACAGACAGTATTTGGGTTAAGATTCATTGAAAGCTCACATTCTAACATCACTGCTCATTAACTGTGCTACAATGCTACCTTGAATAAATTCATCTCTACACAACAACTTTATCAAAGTTCCTGATTTTGTATTAGAAGAAATCTAATATATTTATGATATTTATATATTTAGGATTTACTGGTTTTAATATGCTGCCAATACAAAGCAACAATTTACCAGTAGAGACCCATAGGGACCATTACAGTTTTCATTAAAACCAATCAAATTCCCATTATAACCATTAAAACCATTACATTTTTTTTCCCCCAAGCAGGTTGATCTCCCTTTTGAGATAATCATTTAAAAATATAATTGAATGCAGCTCACTTACAGTTCACATTTACAGGAAGACTGAAGTATTTAAAGACTATCTTAGGAGAGTTAAATGGAATGATATTCAGAATTTCTCATTAGTTGATGATGCTTGGATCAATTTTAAAGTTTTATTTTTTAAAGTAGTGGACAGAATTGCCCCCCTTAGACAGGTGAGAGTTAGGCAAAGATCTAGTCCTTGGATGGATCAGAAAATACTGGAAATGTTAAAAAGTAGGAATAGGACTCTCTCGACTTAAAGGAGAACTAAGAATCAGGAGGACTATATTCAATTTATAGCACTTAGAAATTTAGGACAGAAAAATATAAAGGAGGCAAAAAAAGTAATTTTATTAAGGAACAAATACAATAAAAAAATTTGTGGAAGGTGCTGAATAGGTTCCAATCAATTGGAAAATCGAAATTTTCTGTATCCAAGGATTACATATTGGTGGCAAGATAGAATTTGATAAAAGTAAAGTTGCTAATAAATTTAATTCATTCTTTTCATTAATTGCAAGTAGCTTAGTGGATAAACTTCCTCTGTCTAAGGGAATTCATGGGATTGATTTTGTTAAGATATTTTATACAAAAAAAGGGGTGTTGTCAGACTCGTTCTCTTTTACCAGTTACTGCAGATCAAATTACTAAAATGTTAGAGGAGCTTCAAGTGTCTTAAGTCAACTGGGCTGGACGATATTCCAGCTAGAATTTTAAGAGATGCTGCAGATATTATAGCTCCAACTATTACATTTATTGATAACCTTTCCTTGGAAAAGGGTATAGTCCCATCTGAAATGAAGTTAGCCAAAATCATTCCATTATTCAAAAAAGGAAATAGATACAATCCTGGAAATTACCGTCCAATCTCCACTCTTAGTGTGACCTCAAACAAATGTATAAAATAGACTAAAATTGTATAAACAGATGTATTAATATGTATGCAAGAATTGTTTAATATATGATTTTCAATCAGGTTTCAGATCCTATTCGACTGATACTTCTTTACTTTATTTAACAGATTTTATAAGAAAGCAGATTGATGAAGGTAAAATGCGTGGTTTGGTACTTTTGGATCTTTAAAAAAAGCAATACTCTTAGATAAATTAAGTGTCATAGGTTTTTCAAGTAAAGTGATAGCCTGGTTGAATTCAAATTTAACTGGGAGAGTTCAGAGGGTAGAAACTGATGGGGTTCTTTCTGAGGAAACAATTGTTAAAAATAGAGTCCTTCAGGGAAGTGTTTTAGGCCCTCTTTTGTTTCTCTTATACATAAATGACATGCAAGCAGTTTGTGATTGTATTTTGTTTTTGTATGCCGAGGATTCTGCTTTATTGGTTTCAGACAGGGATGTTGGTAGGATACAAGTGAATTTAGGTGAGGAGCTTTGTATGGTAAGAGACTGGCTTTCTGAAAACAAACTCTTGTTGCATTTAGATAAAACGGAATCCATATTATTTGGGTCTAAAAATAATTTGAATAAGGTTTCTAAGATGTTTATTAAGGTAGGGGATTGTTTAACATCAAACAGAACTACCGTTTATTATCTCAGAAGTGTCCTTGAAAATGATTTAAGTAATGTAAGTATGGCTATGAAAGTTCTGGGTAAGGTTAATGTTAGAATAAAATTTCTTGCCAGACATGTTAGTTTTTTCGATAAACAGAAAATGTAGGGCTGCAAGATAAATCGAAAGGGAATCGAGATGGCGATTCGACAGAAGCTGCGATTGTCATGCATATCTTTCAGTGAAGCACGGTTCTGTGATCAGCAGTAAATCTCCATCCGAAGGCCAGAGGGCGCTCTCGC